GCTCGCAAATGCCAACCAAGTTTTTTGTTTTGCTACTTGTTCGTTGACTTTCTTTTGGCCTTCACCGGCTTTCTTTTAATTGTTTATCTTATTTTCCCTTTCTTGCAATATTGTTTTTTGTTTTTTCTTGGTTTTATTGAATAAAGAAACAGGCTTGCCAAAGCCTTTCTGCCAAGATCTAGATAAAAAAATTAAGTTTTGGCTCTTGGATGGGGCTAACAATATTTTTTATTCTATGTATTAGTGTAGTATAACAGGTCACATCTAGGTACTTAAGAAGCAACTAGATGATGTTGCACCTAAATATTATAGTTTAGATATATTATGTGTGTTCTGCATATATAATAATTATCTAGTTAATAAAGGTAGTGACAAGAGTTAAAAAAATATATATATATGTATATTACTTAATTTTTTTTTCAACTATTACTAATAGTATATATAAGGGCCTAAATCCAGAATATTTTAAATATATACAGTATATACAGTATATACGTATTTACAAAAGCCAAATTTATAGTATTAATTCTAAAAAATTTGCTTGCAAATATTATAGTTTAAAAAATACCGTAATACTTGCTAATTAATACGTAAGCTTATATTTTTAAACATTTTTTATACGTACAATAAGCATTTTTATTAGTCAAAATTCCAAACTTTAATATATTTTTTTTATATATAATATTTTTTCATTAATATATATATGTTGTGCCTCAGATTAATGCTTGCGTCAGATGTCAACTTTTTGGCCCGCATTAACTGATCGACATTGATTGACTTAAATTAAGCCCAAATCCTTCCCAGATTCTTACCCTAACCCTAATCTAACTTAGGCCGGTTTTAATCTGACGCAAGAATTGAGGCACGACATATATATATATATATAAAGGTAAGCATCCTCGAAAATCACGTGCTTCCATTGGTAAGAGTAAATAAATTTTAATTGGTTGTTGTACATTTTATATGAAAAGTAATTCCGGGAGTTTATTCAAATAAGCGAAAATACATAGTAATTTATTTTAACGCTTAAAAAGATCGACATTCAAATATAAATCTCAACATGAATGCTGACGAACTTGCACAATATCAATACCAACTTGATCAAGTTAATCTTGCACTGAAAAACGACCCCGAAAATTCTGAACTCTTGAAGCTGAAAACCGATCTAACAGAACTCATTAGCTTAACGACAACTATTATCGATCAAGAAACTGTTCCACCGACTCCGAAAAGGTCACCTTCATCTATTTCGCCTAAAACAAACTCTACGCCAACTACACCGACCTCAAATTCAATACTAGGCCTTACTAAACCTCTTCAAGTAGGGGATAGTTGTTTAGCACGTTGGTCGGGAGACGGCCAGTTTTATCCAGCTCAGATAACGGCTATTGGTGGTGGTGATCAAGTTTTTTCTGTTGTTTTTAAAGGTTTTAATAACGTTGAACTTGTTAACGTTCAAGACATTAAACCTCTGGAAAAGAATAAAAAAAAATCATTAGCCGAAAGCAAAAAGGAAAAAGAACAAAAGAAAAAGAAAGCCGGTGAAGGCCAAAAGAAAGTCAACGAACAAGTAGCAAAACAAAAAACTTGGTTGGCATTTGCGAGC